TTAAAAAGCATATTCTAAACAGCCTTTCTGTTTTCTAATTTCATAATATGTGTGATAAATTAGTATCGACATACGAGGTCTGTTCAAAAATTATCTGACCTTAATTTTTCCCACCGAAACAAATGAAGCACGAGAGGTGTACCCCGGTGGGGGGTTGTAGGGGACCTTCGGGCGCATTCGTGAATTTTTACCCACTCGCAGAGAGTCAGTCGCTGGCAGTCAGCCTGTGAGTGAGTGTGTGTAGTGAACGCCCGTCGGATTTTCATTTACCGCGAAATGACCGAACGACTTCAGCAGCGGTATTGCATCAAATTTTGTCAAAAGCTTTTCGATATCCAAGTGGAAACCATTCGGAAGATTCGGGAGGCTATCGGCGACGATGCCATGAGCATCACACGAATTAAGGAGTGGTACAACCGCTTCAAAGATGGCTGCACGTCGGTGGAGAGCGACTTTGGACCGTCGTGTCACCGTCCGAGAGCTTGCGGACGAGGTCATCCGTCGCCTTCGTGATGCTGTGCGGCGCAAACGACCGGACCTGTGGGCAGCGGGAACTTGGCAGCTGCATCACGACAACGCACCAGCCCATTCTTCGCATCTGATTTAGGCATTCCTCTGGTTCGTCAGCCTCCCTAATCTCCCGACATGGTTCCTTGTGATTTTTAGCTGTTCCCCAAGCTGAAAATGCCTCTGAAAGGGACCCGATTCGCGGTAAATGAAAATCCGACGAGCGTTCACTACACTCACTCACAGGCTGACTGCCAGCGACTGACGCTCTCTGTGAGTGGGTAAAAATTCACGAATGCGCCCGAAGGTCCCCTACAACCCCCCACCGGGGTACACCTCTCGTGCTTCATTTGTTTCGGTGGGAAAAATTAAGGTCAGATAATTTTTGAACAGACCTCGTATGTCGATACTAATTTATCACACATATTATGAAATTAGAAAACAGAAAGGCTGTTTAGAATATGCTTTTTAATATAATTTCTGTACGCCTACTTACATTTTTGATCGAGAACTGTATTTTATTATCGGTTATGATTTTTTGCTGTACATTACTTGGAACGCTACCATTTTATGTATAACATACGGGAGAGGCACAGGACAGCGACTACAATGCAGGGTTCTCTCACAATGGACAAGTGATGACGGGAGATGTGGACAGTGTTCTACTGTAGACTGTAACATATTGAATGCACCTAACGTGCATAAAATGTTCAACACAACAAAAACTCACGATGATAAATTCAGTAACTGTTGTATGAAAAATAGAAAGCCTGTCACGACACGAAGCTGACATATAATTAAAAGTACGGTACCATAACTGTCACTTCCTGCACTGTGATCTTCATGAATAGTTCATCGAGGACATGTTGTTGATGGCTAGAATGAATATCTTATCACGTCATTGTTCTCTGAAGTTTAATAGGGCTATTGTGTCTGAGTAGTAACGTGCGTGAAGAACTTAATTTGGTTTTAGAAAAATTGTAAAAAAGAATTTAAGTTGCAGATTTAATTACAATTATTATTTTAACCATTTACATTTTACTCACAGACAGCTTCTTGCACAAATATCTTCTGTCTTCTTATTAGATAAAATTCCAACGCACTTTTAGGTTCGTAGATGTTCGCGCAGCAAGTATGTCAGATTAAACGCTCTCTGATGTCCTTTGTATAGACGATAGCTGAGATGTTTACATTCTCCCGAAGTTACATGTTTCTAAATTCATATACCCTGTTATAAAAACAAAATGTATTGTAAATTGTATTATTTTGCCGATAATTTTCGCACAAGCGGAGCAGTTTTGTTGAAGAATTGGTTTCTTAATATTATTTATAAAGACAGGTAAAGATACTAGAAACTAATTTTGTTCAGCGAACAAAAACTTCGTTCATAATCTTTTCTTTTATCTGTCGTTTTGTATGATGGGATGAACACAGAATGAGGTGTTTCGGGGTAGTGCTTGAGTAAATACTTGTATTAAATAGAGAGAAAATGTCAGAAGAATGGAAAATAGTGCTCAGTGAGAATTTTCAAGATTTTTTCCTTCATAATTTTTTTTACGGTTGATTAAATCAAGAGGTTTAGATGGGAGGGATATGTAGCACGAATTAGAAGATGATTAATTTCTACAATATTTTACTCACTTATTGATACCATTGAGAAGATTTACTTTAAATGATCATGGTGAAGTGGATATAGAAATAATGGATATAATTAATTATTAGCATTTTTTCTTAATTCTGCAACATCCACTGTAAAGAAAGATTTTAATCTAATCCCACAATGTACTAAGCAGGCATCGCCTGACTCAGTAGACATGTCCCTGCTTTTACTTGTTTCATTAAACCTGAGCCGCTGTCTAATTTATCTGCAAACATGCATGCCTTGTTTCACGTCTTGTCTTAGACGCACGCAAATAGCTTTAAATATGCACTGCCTATCAGCACATGACTTAGCAATTTTTTGTTGTAATGTCTTATTTTACGGAAAACATAAATCTTTCTTCAGGTTCCGGCAATTCTTTTAGATAGGTGAATTGTCTAAAGTCTCCATCTGTCCAACAGGTAATTTTCTTCGTATTTAATACGGCGAATACAAAGTTATTGAGAAGAACATGTGGCGTTATTACTAAAGATCTGCATATTTATCGTCTTGTACAATTTTACGTTTTCACAGGAGTGAGTTTGTAGATGCCTTTCTTCTGTTTTGTTGAACCATATTGTCTGGTAGAAGTTTACAGACGTTTTAGAGGTCCTTGGCTGCCTCCATCAGGGATATCGTCGGTAAACGTCTACCAGACTACACGGCACAACACCCAGAAGACAGTCTTATTCATATTTATCGCCTTGTTACTGAAATCCAGTGCTGGCCTATAAATTCTGGCAAGATAATTTTATAGTTCCGTCAAACATAACACTTATTTAAATGAATAACACAGTTTCGTGTTTATTAGCAACATGTTTCGACCTCGTAGGCCATTCTCAGGCTTTTTACAACATATGTTTTGCATTATAAGTGGATACTGCAAACACATATATTTATTGAGGTTATGTGCTAAAATGTTAAAATTTATTATTTAAAATATATATTTAAGATAGGTGTTCGGTCCAACGTCATATAAACATTTTTACCGTTATTTAAATACAATATATTTTAGTTTTTAAAACTTAAGACCGTGTTGTGTAACAGTAAAATAGGATTTTATTATTTTTCATGTATAATATTTAGACACTGCTGAAGACATTATTTAAAATTCTCTTTTCTCAGTAAAATGAGTTGCACTTAGTAACATATAACCTAAATATGAGCTACACAATTCTATGTGCGTGACGTAGGGGCACGCAGAGGGAGACGCGTGCTTAAAGCGATATTGGCGTGCATTTTTTTCGACCGACGACGTTACCGATGTACAGATTACGATGGCGGCTATATTCGTATTTAGTTGAGAGCTGTAATGTTAACATAATTCTTTCTCAAACATCTTAATTGGTCATAAAAAGACATGAAAGTAAACAATTCTCTTTTAAAAAGCAAAATTCTTAATCAGGGTTTGTAACTGTGCTTTATAGACGTTCGTATACGATGTAACATGTATCAAATATGGAGTATTTATGTATTGTTAATTTTTAGGTTTGTAGAAGTGAAATATAGGTATTAATATGTTCACTTTTGGCATCTGTAAGGGTCAATTTCTGTCAATTAGAGACATGCTGTTGTTGTGTGCGGGGTATAAGGTGAAGAATTATCTTCCTATTTAAAGTAACTACGACAATATAATGAATAATATGGGTTGGAAGATGTCCAGAACTTTAAGAATTTTAAGTTTTGTAGAAATGTAAGTACTTAAATGTAATTTAACTACTATCGGCCTAGATGTGAAATTTTAAACACGGTTCGATATTGTCTAAAGATCGTCACCAGAATAGATTAAAAGTTTATTACTAAAGCAAAATTCACAACGCTGCTATTTATACAGACAATTTGTAAAATATTAATGATGCATTCAGAAAGGATACGACTTCCCTTTTAAAGTATTCAGTTATACCTCATTTGTGTATATTTAAATATTGTAACACAAGTTTTACTGTAACTTTAAAGTCATTCTCCATTAAACTATTTCATAATGGTTTCGGAATGCCAAGGAGTATTTATCAATCCCTATTAAAACTAAAAATTATATTAATAAACCGTAATTATTCTTTGTACACACAACCATTTACCAAATATGGCTCAGTAATTGCCTGCTCATTACCAGTTCCTGGGGTTCTAGTTTATTTTCTCGACATTTCCTTGTAACTGCACCTAATTAAGGCACTTGAAAATAACCATTACAACAACGAAGCGATTTACAGTTATGTAGGCATTACCTGTTCTTTCTTTACTTATAAAATACAACTTGAAAGTACGATAGGCTTATAATAAGTTATAAAGAAATTTCCTAATTTCTAACAAAACAATGTTCTAGTATTAGTAAAAAGAAACAGAAAGGTAATACCGTTAATATGTTTTGAACAATTTATTATTTTGTTTATCTATAGAATTCAAAAAATTACCTGAGGTGTGAATCTGTGTGTCTGTCATTGAAGTTATTGAATCAATTATTACTTATGGAAATAAAACACAGACGCCATTCAACATTTGCGATGCAGCACTAATTTTAAGGTAATCGTAGACATTATGTCAGCACTTTTGTTGAACTTATATGAAATAGGTCTTACGAAATATCTCTTAACCTAGGTTTAGGCCTGTGTCTCCTTAACACCACGGACTTCCCGAGCATGCTAACTAAGTATGTAAGATTTAAGGTTTTCACAGCGGTGAGTACCAAGATTGCTGTCTTCTGGGTTGTTGCGCTGTGTAGTCTGGTCGATGTTAACCAACGTTTCAGAGGACATACTGCCTCCTAAACGACGCTACAACCCAGATGACAGCCATCTTAAGAAGTACTCGGTTCTATGATGTTACTTACGTTACAGAAATATTCATTCTAACTTAGGTCTAGCATCTCGTGCTTGCTGTTCTGGGGATTTGCCCTCGGGGCTTCTTCTCCTGTGACTAGCCCATCTGGGCTTTCGAAATCCATTGCTTTGCCCTAACAAGACTTCCGCCACGAAGGATTAGACCATCACTATTATACAGAATAATTAATATTAAGGTTGTTTAGAGAAATGATCGCTGTATATGCTGAGAATCATACGAAAACCATTATACATGATGTGGTTAAAACAGTTACTGGCGGTTATAGAAGGTGGTATATATAGTTACCACAGTGACTTAAATAGTTTTAATGTAGAGTGAATATGATACGACTTAGACACAAAAAACTACGATTCCTTTAACCGGATTATAAGGGGGGAGGAAAATGACGTTTTCGAGTTTGGGTTGAGGAGTTATGGAAGGCGGGGTAACTTAGCGGTGGTTGTTGCCACTCATTATGTCATTGTGTGCACGCAACTTCACATGCAGTGCTGCCACCTTCTTACAGCCGTAAGTAACTTGTACTATTATATTAAAGGTGGTGGTTCCTGGCATTGTACTTTGATAAATTCTATGCCTGGAAATTAAGAGAAGAGGTAAAGAAAGTTATTTAGACAGAAGTCAACTTGGGCATTTAGCAAAGAGTTAAATAGGAACAGCGTTAATAAACTAGAGAGAGAAATGAAGAGAAAGTGATGAATGTGTATTAAAGAGGGGGAACTTGGTTTATTGATTTAATTATAAGATGAAATTGAGGCGTTTATTTACAGAAGAATCATCCACATATAAAATTGTTGATTAATGTAAGGAGACAGCGAAATTTCAATGACTTTGTTTAATATTTTTTACTTGGGCAATGCTGTCTCTTTTGTGTGTAAAAATGTAAGGAACAAGGATTCAAATGTCGGATTTGGCACGGCCATTTGAAGAAAGTAACTCTGTTACTTCTGTCAGACCCTATAATCAAATTCCAGAATGAAACCTATCCTTCCATTTTATATGCCACATTTTATTCACTGGTTCGACCTCACTGTTTGATTGTGATTTGAATTTAATAGTGGACAAGGAATCGTGCACAAACAGCAAGAACAAATATATAAATAAACAGCAGCGAATGTTGTAATTTTCTTCTTCGTATGTTGCTAAGGCACGTCCTTTCTTCCCTGTGTAAGAAATTTCTAAAAAAATCATTGTCTCTGACACCGGCTCCATAATTTTCTAGCGTCCATCACACAAGTCTGATAACGTTACAAAATAAATGAAGTTTCAGTATCACCCTGTGCCACCGGAAAACGAAAAAAAATGGATCAACGGGGTCTATTACGAGAATGAATAAATGCACTTGTGGGTTCACATAAGGGAATCATGGAATAAAATTACATTCATTTATAAACTTTTGAACATCGCTGACCATTTCTTTAAATCTATAAATATTACGGAGAATGGATGGCTTGCTATTGCTTCATAACTTACAAAGTTTTTTTTACTTTAAATGTTACCTGAAACGTTATACATTATATCAACATCAAAAATGTATTACAAATGTACTTTATTTCTCATATTCCTGGGGAAATACATTATTAGAAGACAACTTGCCTCCTATTCACGATTAATAGTAAGAAGATCAAGTGTGAAGAAGCATAGAAACCGTTTTGCAATAATTGACTTTTGTCTTAACAGAAGAACTTAAAAATTCCTCTACTTCTTTGTGTCCAACTGTTCAGTAAGACGTACATAATTTGGCTTTTAATAGGCCTATTTATATTAACACGCGTTCCTTTGCTAAAATTTTACGCTTGAAATATATACAAATTTTTAAAGTATATTTGTATGTAAATAAACATGAAATGTGAGTGAGATTTCGATTATTAAAACTGGGAATTTTTAAGACATTGGAGAAAGACAACTCTGTAGGTGGGAGAGTTATTATCAAGAGATAAGCCCATATAATTTGACGTTTCTTTCAAAGTAAAAGAAAACTAACGTGTTTTCTTTATTTTTGTATTTTTTTAATTCAGGAGTAAATTGAGTAAATTAATGAATAACAAATTAATGTTCAATACATTGTGAGTGTTTATTAGGAGGTTCGTAACTTACGTAAAGCGTTAACAGAGTGACTGAACATCATAGAACGGAAACGGATGTTTTAACAATTTTATTTTTTATTTATTTTAAGAGGTTGTACACCCCTGCAGCCAAGTGGCTCGTGACATTAGTTTGTATGCATGGACTGTACAAATAATGTAGTGCATGTGTGTGTTGGTGGGTGTGCTGGACATCTCTTGGTGTACGGACAAAGTTTACGAAACGTTGACCCCAGAAAGCTTCGGATAGCTAAAATGTCACCGATGAAAGAAAATGTATCAAGTCTGACAGCCCCTTCAAAAAAATCTGTCGTTAATTGTATCTCAGTGAAGACATTACTAAAGTTAAAAGAACAATTTGTGACTTGCGCTTAACATTCACGTTTTTGGGCCGTATTAGATGACAGGAGTCCCATCACCATCCACTCACTGTCTTATCCCGAAATTCGCGTTCTTCCAAATTCAATACTGAGGATGGAGGCGTACAGCGCAGAGACTACCAACATAACATTGTAGAAAGTTCTAGCAAAATTTATATTTTCATTTTTGACAAATAGATCAGAGGGCCAATAAAATACTAGATTCAACCACAAAACAAATAAATTTCAAACTTTTTTTTTTACACACATTACTGTTGAACGATGTAGCCACGTGTTCTAACGCATGCTAACTCACCATTGCTGCCAAATTCTGCTCAAAACACCAGTTTCATTATTTATCCAACCTCACATATACATACATATTTTAACCAACCATTAGAAGTCAGACTAACGCACTCCAGATATTAAGTGCAATATATTTAATTTAATTCGATTTTATACACGTCCGTAACACGTTCCTTCCATTTGCAGTCAGCTGCTATTTAAAAAGATAAGTGAGTAATAAACATGAAGGTTTTTACACCAAAAGCAGCAGAGGCAACAGACTAAATAAAATACATAATCACATACATAGGCCTACATAGATACATATTCTTAACAACACACACGCATAAGTTTGATTCATCCTAAAAGACTGTGAGACTAGTTGGATATAAATCACCCCGCTGAACTGCATAATAGCGTAGCTACTCTCAGAGGGACTGGAGTCGGTCTTGCACTCAAGAACGGAACAAGAGTGTCACTTCTCACGCAATGCCGTGTGCGGATTTGCCATGCAAACTAAGGAAACCCTGTGGGCATTACTGTGTTGAGCCATCACGTCACGAAACTCAGATCCGGAGAAACAGAGGATTTCAGAGTCAATTTTCTAAGCTACTAATCTCTTGAATGAGATGATCAGGTGACCTACAGAGAAAGATTTATTGATTCTTCTTGAGAGCTCTTTGTTGTCTTACCACGCATATACATGCTAAACATATTAAGGAGATAACTGTTGGAAATCTTAAAGGTAGCGTGTTCTATGAGAGAAAGCAATAGACTCGTACGTCAGCAAAATGTACTTAATTATATCCTTAGAAGTGATTTATTACGTATCAACTCAGAACAGAGCAATTATAAATTCGACTCACATAATTAATCTGCTTTCCGGCCGAAAGACAAAACTTTGCTTTCAAGATCTCGTCGTAAATGTTGTGTCTTCTTTAATTTTAGACCTACTATTCGTACATCTTCTCATTGTATGCATGTAATTACGTAGCATGTACTTAAGTATGAATATACGTAGGTATGTAGAATTCTACCAGTACATAATTGCTTGTATGTAATGTAATGTATTTGTGTGTATGTGTATACATAATTTTATGCATGTGTGAAAATTTACGTATGTCTATCCTGTGTTGACCCACGTTGATCTATGTATCTTTTATGGAAACTACAATTTTGTGTTCACATGTAAGAGAAATGTCATTTGCGTGGCATGGATTAGTGACACATCACTTTAGGGGATAACTTACGTTAAAATCAATATATGTGCTCTGAAACTTGTGATGTGGGATTAACTATAGTGCTAATTGCAATAAAGTCATGAAATAATGTGTGGTTTTTATGCGTTCTTTGTACGAAGTGCATAGTAAGAACGCATTATGGGATCGTCGTATCCGTCCGCTCGTCCTTCTGTCTTTTCATTAAACTAGAGAACCACTTTAAGGATTTGAAAGAAATTTGATGTGCGGATTTTGAAATTCCGCGCGACCTTAATATCTTAACTTCTGAATATCCTATGAACGGTGTTAACAAAATTACGGGTGAGAAAATTCGTGAGATGGGCATTGAGTTACTGCGATCTGGTGGCCGTGGTCGGAATTTATTTGTTTACAAATATTTGCCAAGGCTCCCACTGGCAAGAAACTGTTATTCATTCTTTGAATATTCGCTGTTGGTTCTATGGTAGTCGTGGTTCGTACTGACGTAAGTGGGAACCAGCTTTGCTTTTATTGGAACAGTTTAGAATATAAAATGTTAGGACACGTTAATTCCGGTTAAGTTAATTCAAATTCGTTAAGACATATTATATTAGGTAATTTCACAAAATGTAGTGCTTGAGTGGCCAGTGTTGGTGCCGACATTCGAACACGGGATTTCAGAGCGAAAATACTAACCACTCTGCCACCAAGATCGGTTCCCGAAAAGCGACATTATTAACGACGTGCTGCATCCATAATTGAAAACGGATTATCTCATGTTCCATTGTATGCAAATGAGGGAAGAGGGAAAATAAGAAATCAAGTGACATGTACGGTGTTCCCCTAGATTCACGACGCGATCTGTTCAAATGGCATTACTTCTTACCGGGTACGCCTCTCCTAACAATCTTTTCTTATTGTGCACTGCAAGCCCACAAATGTGTTACATGTTTTAAGTGGTCGTTCTAGACGAACGATATTATGTCATTAAACTGATCGTACTTTTCTTTGTGCAGGAATCGATTGTGTACTAGGCAGTCCTATTCACAAAACCCAAAGCATAGGCTACTTAAGCATACACTTAAACATTTCTGCCATTCAGATCTGTCTCAAACACAAGTCTGCTTTATAATCGCGATTATTATGGATTCACAGGTATCCATAACAAAATGCACGTTTCTCCTTGTAGTTTTATAGCTCAACCACCGAAAATGGAGGTGATACGTTACCCCGAAACCTAGTAACTACCCCCAATACCACACGGTCTCTCAACTCAGAAACCCACTTTCTTAGAAGTTATGATACCAGAATGATACCAGATTATGTTCGTAGCATAATCACTGTTCGTGTTAAAACGGTCCTGGCAAACTGCTCCTATTCATACCAATGTAATATATTCGTAGAAAAACTTTCTATAAAATTTCCACATATTTATAGGACAGCCTATAACATTTAAATTGTGTCCAACTTAATCCTCGATAACCTATCATTTATATTCTATCGAGGCTTTTAAATAAATTGCCGTTGAGACACTGAACTTGTGCTGTACAGTAAATATTCCCCTGTCACCGCGAACGATACCATCTCCACGAAGTTTGATAATAGTACTAATTATAGTTCAAAGTTAAATAGAATTCTGTCATTACAAACTCATTGTAAAACATTACAAACCAACTTAACAACTGGCAATCAACGACAATGCATTAGCTGGAATAGAAAATAAATATTCAATAAGCGATCGTTACGTAAATTCGATGTGTTCTGGTAAGTTCTAGACCCTAGGGTAAAAACGAGACATGCCTCAAATTTTCAAATATTTGTTTAAACCTGAAGGTAGTTGGCAGAATGAAATAGACAAATATAATCATTAATAACTGGTTGTTTAATAATGTTCTTTTTAAATTACATCATTTACTGAGTATGTCTAACATTTATACAACCTCGGATATTGTACTGCATGCCGAAATGCACGTAATATCCTCATGAAATATTTGCTGCGTGCATTTAGACGTATTAAATCCGCCTTGATCGAAAGCCCACTTTTGCTACCAGATCGCAGCTATTCGCTTTTCAGGAGGAGCCAGCAAAAATGAAATAGTTTAGTCATAGGTATAGCAGTTAAATTAATTGATACAGATTACTACTGCCCTCTTAATTTAGTATTAGTCTTACCTTATAGAGCA